TATACGTATATGAGCTATTGGTTCACCGTTGTTGAAAATGAAAGATTTTAAAGCGATTTTTTTTTTAATGCGTAGTATGGTCGATGAAAATTTTGTTGGTAAATAATTCGAAAGGCCCTCTATGTCATTTTTGGCCAACTTGCGATCGCATTTTAGTGCCTGTTACGGTCAATTCACAATTTGTTGGATGCATTGAGACAAGCAGAGAGTTGTGGTGAAGGAGAAGAGGGAGGAAATGACACATGAAAGTATCCAAGAACTTATGATTTGGCAAAATCTGTAGTTTGCTTATTGAAATGAACGAAAGAATAGACACTGAATGATATTGGTAACCTCGACAATATTTGCATTTTCGAGTGCCAGTTCGCGAATTTCAATGGGCGTCTTTTTGAGCTGTTCCACCACCGCCGGGCCATCCTGGCCATTACATCTGATTACAATACCGTCGATATATGCGAAACAAGTGCAGGCTGTTTGGTTTTTCAGAAATGCTGGACAGAACGCGAGGACACAAGTAGCAGCTGTGCACAGTAGTAATAAAATTGCTTGTTGACTTATCATTTTTGGAGCTGAATGAGCTTTTTGGCCTGTAAAGTTTCACGGCTTGATTGGCCTCTCCTGGTGACACAGCACTGCGGAATTTAGGAAGACAGGCGTTGTTGCAGTCTGAATTGCCTCACGTCAAAACGGAACCAGAGACATCGCAGTAACAGACCCTAAGACGTTGTCGATTTCGAAGTAACTGGGTGGTGGAATGGCCAGTGAGTCCTGGTAATGTTCGGTACAGGAGAGCTCAGAGCGGCAGAGAGCTGGTCGCTGTAGATTTGGAAGAAACGACAGTTTTGAAGAGGAAGGTCGGCGCCCTTTTCACCTGACATATTTCTGCATCTTTTGTATAGCCGTCCAAACAATCTGCATTCACCGCGGACTTCCACGTTGTCAGGTCAAGGGCAGCTCCTCCTACATCCCTGCTGCATCGCGGTAGCAGTTCCTTAAGATATTCAAGTTTTGCGCATCACTTTTATTGATATAGACAGACGGAGAGTATGAAACGCTGATAATTAAGTTGTGAATCACTCGAACCCATACTTTTCCTTCATTGAACTACGATCTGAAAAAAATATCACACACTTTACATTTATGATTGATTGCGATATAAGTTGGATTTCCAGGGACTGGCTGAGCTTGTCTGTTTTTTGAATCGGCCGGCTCACCAACCAGCTGTTTTTAATAGATAGATCTATCAAATCTGAGAAGTTGGTTCCCTTGCTGTAATCGGTTGACCAGTAGCGTGACCTTGCAAAAGTTTCACATTTCAGTACCTCACGATTACCTGCTCTGTACTTTGTTTATGATACGGTTTAGGCGTTGACTCATTTCATCTAATTTCAAAAAGTGGGAAGTGTGAAAGATAGGGCGCAACCCAGCCATATTCATTCACTTGGTCATGCACTAGGCAGCTCTGTAACACTGTGGCACTTCTGGTCATCAGCGCATCTGTCAGTCTTTCGCTTGAGCTCGAACTATAGTGCATCCAAGTTAGTTTACAGAGCGGTCATCCAAGTGTTCGTTTAACGCAGCGTGAAGACCATTGGTCAGTGTCTTATCTGTTATCATTGACTAGCTTTGATTCTTTCTGATTTGAATTATCCCGTTAGTAGCAATTTTCATGTCATTCCACAATCACGATATTTCTTACCGAAGAGATGCACTGCAACATGTTGACCCCTGCCATGCACCAATTCACGACCTACTGCTGCTGGTCCACAGTTAATCTCATTTCGCAAGTACTCTTCGTATCTGTGCAGCAACTTATTGTAAGTTGTTAGTTTTCGCGCTGTGTTGTTGTATAGGAAATCTTACAACTGGGTGAAGTTTAAACCGTCTTGCTTTTCATTCCGCTTAGCTGCACACAGCACTTATTGCTTTTTTGGATTTTTATTTTGCCCAAGTGGTTTAGTTATTCACAGATTACGCTGATTGATTCTCGGCCATCATTGTTTGCCTGAGGGCAGAATGCGTTCTTCATTCACTTCCTCGTTGCTGCTTGTCACATCAATGAGCTTCTGACAATTCAGATGACATTCCTAAACTAGTACCCCCGGTCTTCTCTATTACCAGTAAATATTCTTGCGATTTTTCACCAGCAGCTTACATTTCTTTTTCTGTGATCTGCCCTCTGTACAAGTGTCATTAGAGTATTGTACATTTAGCCACTTCTTTCATCCTTATTTTTTTTTTCTGATGTTTGGGGAGACAGTCCCAGTTCACTTGTAGCTTTCTTTTTAGCTCTTTGTTAGGGGAAAAATCGAAATTTCTTATGTATTTTTTTTTCTCAATGATGATTCTTTCCGTTACCGTATGTTTAACGGTGAATCCAGCTGCGCTACCTCCCTGCTCAGCTTTTCAGGACATGTTCCCGATGCCGTCTTCGTTTTGCCATTAGGCTCGTTTCCAGCCCTACTGAGAATATCGTACCGCGGCACCTTTTAGTCCTTTGCCACTTCTACACCACGACGAAGCGTATATGTTGAAATTCATGAAAGTAAATTTATTGTTTCTAAAGCACTTTCGTAAATTACAAAAGGTACCATAATCGGCTTGATGAACAAATTTTTTTGCACGCAATTATTGTTCTAGTGATTGGACAGAGTGAGCAAATTCTAATAAGTTTTGTGCAAATCACCATATTATAATACACAATACACATAAAGAAATTGTTCAAAAAATATAAAAAGTGAAAAAATTTCGGGCGTTTCATGTAATATCACGTATCGAAACAAAAGCAAAAACATGTGTGTTAACGATGTGCGCTTATGGGCAACACATGAGGGAATGCGTTAAAAGAATTTTTTTTCTTTCAAATTTATTCAGCTTTGAAAAGTACAAAAATTTTAGAAGACATGATCCTTATATTTGGGCCTACAATTATAGCAAAAGGGACAATGCGTTCTGAAACTAATTTTCGATGGTTTTATGCCTCCCTGTGTGGCGAACTAAGCCTCCAAAATCTCGAATCCCTATATCATATTGTTATGAAATTATGGAATTATCTTCGGGACCATGTCCCCAAAAGTGTTCACAGTTCAGGTTGAGACGAATTTTGAAAGCCGATTCTGGACTGATCAATTCATATTGCGCGTTAAATTATAATAGAAAAATTTCGCTTTCATGGCTTCCCCGTTTTAAGCTATAAAGCCAGTCTGAAATTAAAACCAAGGTCATAAATTACATAGTAACTTACAAGTTAATGCAGTTTTGTAGTCAGAGATTACCTTCCAAAATTTCCGTTTCCGAAACTTTGGGCATATTTCATCTTATTTAACCTACAGACACATGTAAACAAACACAGTTTTTTCTTAATTAGTTTTTGCATAAATTATTTGAGAATGCATGATTTAGCAAAATCGAATTTGTGAAAATTATTAAAATCTTCGCAGTTTGAGAGATTTTTGGATGCCTGGTCCAGCCTTGAAGTATTTTTCGGCAGCTGAATTTATTTGGCAGGTTTTCCTACTGTCGATCTCGTTACCAAGGCCGATTTTATTGAGATGCCCTTTTTTACTTCATTTGCGCAGTAAGAAAAGTTTCAGGATTTCTGGAATCGAGCGCTTGCTTAACGAGGTGGTACGTGAAGTAGGGTTTAGGCTTCCGACAGTAGCATAAACGAAAAGTGTGCAATGGAATGTTTAGGAAATCAGTATATTTGAGCACCGGGTTTTAAAAAGGTTTTCAAAAAAAGGCCTGTAAAAACGCCTTGTGAGCTTGATTTATGCATTTTATTTATAATAACTGGCATTTGCATCCGGCGCGTATATCCACGGCTGCCCGTCTGCATTCCTGAAATTGCCTTAACATTTATCGCATAAGTAAATTGAGTTATAGAATTTTTATGCTTGCATAAAACAAAACAAGGCCTGGACACACACACAAATACACACACACACACACACACACACACGCACACACACACTCAGACACAACTTATCCTCATCAGAATTCCACCTCGATGACAAACTTGTAATCTGTTTTTTCTTACTTTAATTTTGAAAAAATAATGGAGCCAGATACGTACCGATTGCGTTGTACGGTCCCATAGATCATATCCAGTTGAGCTGCTACATAAGCATTAGTGCGCGCTGCAGCTGAGCTGTTGGTTGTCATTGATCCGTGAACTATACCCATGCGTCGATACCGCGCGATAGATAGACCAATAAATACCGCACACATGACAACGATCACTGTGCACAGACAGACCATGATTATCACCGATGGAGCTGCCACACGTTCAAGCCTATAAAAATCGATGGAAACAATTGTTTTTAGTCTCAGTTCCATTTCGAATAAATCCCGTGATTAAGAATCATGATTTGAGTTCGACAGGATTTTATAATGATTTTTCAGAATTTGAAATAAACAGAAACCGCTGATTATGAGAACTAAAAGCTAGATCAAAACTAAGAGGTGCTGATTCCTTGCAGTGTTTCAAAGGAATCAGAAAACGAAGCGATAATTAGCAAACTGAAAATGTCATTCATAAGTGTTCAAAATCGGACTTGCCTATCGGTGTTGTCGACATCGAAGAGAATTTGACCTCCATTCTCTTCGGCATCCCTAACTGCAACGGCTTCAATTTGATTGGATTCAGGTACTGGCGGTAATAAGCCAATTCGATCAATATCTTGTGCGCTATCTGCGATCACAATGCTTGGAGGTAGTGTCTCTACTCGGGATACCGTTTGATTCCTAGATGCCCAGCCTGCGGTCAGCGTGTTGTTGTCGATATAAGTTGGTGCTAGTACTGTTTGCTTCCTGGATGTCCGGTCTGTGGTCAACATGTTTTCGACATAAGTTATGGGGCGATTCCGGAATGGTGTCGGAAGCGGCTGAATCATTTTTGTATCTTCCACAAGAATTTGGTTGCCGTCAACAGATCCGGTTTTGTTATTTGTTCCAGGATCTTCTGGCTTTCTGCTGTTGTCGTTTCTCCTCGGACCATGTTTTTCAACTCCAGTTTCAGAATCAGAACCTAGGTTCCTTACTCCGAGCTCCGGCAGCTCACCCATAGAGGGTCTTTGTGACGGCCGTGGTACAGCAACCGGTTGAGCGTTGACCAATGCATTAACAGGTCGAACGGGCGTCATGCGTTCGATGTTACTTTGATCTTCTGCTTCATTAAGTGATTTCGTCACCTTTAAAAGTAGGGATAAATTAAGAAAAGTGTTGGCTTTAAATGATAAGGTATTTTATAGTTTGAGAGTGCTATAACTGGAGGTTGTTTTTTAATGAATTTTTTTCTAGCGACTGGAAAGAGGAAAAAGGTGTACCGACTTTTGCAGTCCCGACACAGATTTCAAAAAAAAATGAGAGGAATATGGAGATTTAGGGGAGAGAGCGGGTGGAAAAGTCATTTTATTCGCATTAATATTCAAGCGATGAATAAGGTAATTTAACGCATCATTTTTGTCGCTCTTTTTCGAACTGCCAGAACACATGCTTTTAGTTTAAGCTGGAAAAAAATAAAATGGTATAAAATGAGGAAAATAAAGACGCACCTCATTTTCGATGGTTGAAAATGGACGGATAATAGCCGGTGTTTTGAACGACACTACTTTTTCCTCCAACTGTGTTTTTGCATTCGAATCTACAGCTGCAGATTCGCCAACTGCACTATTAGCTGCATTTGTCAAATTATGCGCTGGAAGTTTATTTGGCCTGCAGACTGCATCCGCACTGCTTGCCACGTAGATACCGACACCTTGCTGTAGCATATGTACGCGTTCCGAACAAACAAGAGGGTTCTCTGAAATTGTCGAATTCTTAATTGGATGCCTTTTCTCCAAGAAAAATTTGTCCCGCACATCCGCGCCAGCCTTTGTCAGAACATCACTTTGGCATTTGTGACATGTTATTGTTGTGAACGCAGCAAAATCAAACGAACCTTGTAAAAGGACGGTTTTCACGCGTCGACTAAATGCTCCGTATGGCGTGCGCAACAATTTATTACCGCTTAAATCAATCAGAAAAAGATTGATTTGGGCCAGGAATGTTGATGGTGGTATGTCCATTAGTTTGTTATTGCTCAGGTCGATCATTGCCAAACTCGGGTTCGAATAAAAACTGTTCTGGTCAATGAACTGAATCTAAAATCAATTATTGAAGCACTAATTAATTACAAAGTTTCAGTGGCTTTTTCTGCATTATGTTTTTCCAGCTTTTTATTAATTGAAGTATACGTGTGCTTTCCTTCCTAGAATCTCACGCTTCTTGTTTTCCTGTTCATAACCTGGAACAGTTCTCGCCAGAATTTCCACGTACCCGTGCGTGAGGCCATAGAAACTAAATTTCAACACTCGGAACTGAGCATAAGTATGAAACAACCTCGTATAATTTCAGTTTATCTTTTCTGATTCCCGAGCCTGGAAAGTTACTAACAGTTCCCCATCTGAACAGTCACATCCCGTACTTCAGGTCTAGCCTACTTAGGAATTGCATTTGAAACCATTGTGCCGCACAGATCTCCTAAAATTTCAGCTTTCTAGCTTTTCTGGTTCGGTGATTTTTCTTTGCGTACTTATTTAAGAACCGGTTTTGAAATTTTTGGATCACACATTGACAGAGAATACCCTCTTAAAGCTTTGATTTTCTAGTTTTTCTTATTCTAGAGTTAGCAGTTTTTCCTTCAACTCCTTCACGAACATGAGACAAAAACGCGCGTGAAGTTTGATATTACGTTTCGACCCCCACTTGACCAGCAATCACACTGATGAAATTTTAGCATCTAAGCTTGTTTAGTTGCTGAGTTGAAGTACTCAACAGATAAACTGAAAGACTCACGCAAACAGAGACAGGGTCATCTCAATATGCGTTTTTGCTGACTGTTGCAGCGCAACAGCACTTTACTTCAAAAAAGCGTAAAAACCACTGCCTGGTTATCCTTCAGCACAAGCTGCTGCATTTTGTCCAGACCATCGAACATTCCCTTTCGGAGTTCCTTGAGGTTATTCTTGCTGAGCACCAAGATAATAACTGAGCTGTTTGTGAAGCATCGCGGTTCTATTGTGTCAATGCGGTTATCACCAAGATACAATTGTCGGATATTTTGCAAATCCGAAAATCCCTCGGCTTGCAGCTTAGTTAGTTGATTGCCTGTCAAGTCGACCATTTCCAGTTGTCCGAATGAGGCAAACTGGCGCGGTCGAATCTGGAATTTAGTGTTTTCAATGGTTTTCTAGAGCATCTTAAAAATAAAAAAAAGAAAAAAACTAATTAGTTTGTTGGTAGAATATTGCTGGCGCAATATATAAAAACAATATTTTTTTATTCGTGCTAGTTATAATTAATAAAAAGATAACGTTTGGGTTTTTCTTTTAATTGAAAAAATTAGTAAATTATTAAAGGATACTGTGACATTCAAAATTTTTTAACATAACCAGTTCGTATTTTAGAACTGCGATATGAAAGTAATGCTTGAAGGGAGGAGAAGGCATGAAGAACGGGATGAGGGGTGCGGGCGAGGGAAGGTGATAGGGGACGGGAGAGGGGGATGGAGGGAATGAGTGGAGGATGAGGGGGACAGTGAGCAGATATGAGAATAAATGCGCTATTTGAGCACAAGTGGCCCATCGAACATTTGTATTCGAAAAGAGCATAACCGAAGATGAGCTGGGATGGATAAAAGAAGAAAGAGGAAACTAGATTTGCTTACTTCAGTAATTTGATTTCCAGTCAAATACAGAAATCGTAAGTTTGGTACATTGAGGAATGCTTGCTTATGGACGTCAGAGATCAGGTTAGATGCCAAATTCAATAAATTCATTAGTGGTAGGTTCATAAAGGACAGTGCTTCGAGCGCTGTGATATTGTTGCTGTGCAGATGCAGTGCCATGAGTTGCTTGAATCCTCTGATCGCTGCAATGGAATTTTGGTTAGCATGAAGTGCCTGAGAAATCGGTGCACATGACTGAAGTAAAAATGAGAAGGTACAGATCGTTTTCCTGTCCTGCACATCTACGTTAGGTACCAATTTCCCATCGAAACAGATTGCGGAAGGATTGCTTTTTCAGGTATTTGCTCTTGATGCACAGTCCCTTCTCTTTCTCTCGCCCCTCTCGTTCAGTTTGTCCGAATTTCAAATCGCTGATTAAACAGAGATTAACCGAGTTTTTCCCACCTTATGGTTTTGACCTGCTATTAAAAAAATGATGATTCATTTCGAGGATAGGATGGAATTTCAACGCATTTTGTTAAATTAAATTTTTTTTGAACAATGAGAGGTCACATTTTCGAGAAGAAAAATCGAGTATTTGTACTGCATTTTTCATTAGTCTATCCGCTTGTCTTTCATTAAACATCGCAGCAAAAAACAGCAACCTAGGCCCTAGCTAACACTTGCCCATTCATCGTATCTTTTAGCAGTCAGAATTTTGCCCTTTACATTACTGTCAAATAAGGATAACTGTCATAATTGACAAAATGTGGTTCGAATCAGTGAATGGAATCATCACTAAGTATTACATATTTTTCATACTGGGAGCTTAACTTGCCTTTAAGCATCCCTCCCAAGTTACAATCTCCAGAAAAGATTAATCTTGGCATCCTCGATTTTGTCCTGTTAACAATGCTACTTTTTGAGTCCAGCGAGGATCACGTAGAGTGCTGAAAGGTTTTAAGTGCGCGAAGATTGATGCCTTTACCTGGCGCTGGAACTTCTTTCAAGCAATTCTTGCCGAGATTGATAGTCTGAACAGTGTACTTGACATCGTCGAATGCATTCTTTTGTATTAGGCATATGCGGTTATTTGCCAAATTAATATCGTACAGCTGCAAGTAGTGAATTCTTGTTCAAAATTTCCTAGCAGTAAAATGCGAAAGTTATACCATTCAGTCCCATATTCTCTTATCTCTGATCACACAAACACACACATATGATGGAAAGCATGTGGTATCAACTTTTCTATAAAGAAAAATGAAGGCCAGGTTCACTCTAGATTAGTCACAGATGCTTTCTGGATGAGATCCATTTTTATGTGCTGCCCCACCACTACTTCAGACTCAAAACTGCTTGACCGCCCACCAAATTTCACTTTTTAATAATTTTGATGCCGATGCAAACAGCAAGCAAAAATTCTTGGATTCCATAGCGAAAATCATATTACGTAGTGGTACTAGCACTCACTTCTTTGCCCTTCCGTCTCGCCTTGCTAATTGTTTCACATTCCCTCCACCGCTTGTGCGGTACTTTATCTCGTCTGTTGATAACTTCCTCACTATTTGTCATAACGACGGCACTCATAAGAGGCGCGTACGAGTTAATGATATGAAAGTGTTATGGAAATTTTAGAAATATAAACAGTGGATATCCGTGATCAGGAGACTGGAGAAGGACGGAGGGCTTAAAATCGTCCTATGTATTAATATATCTAGTTGGTTTAGCGTTACTGTCCTACTGTGGAGAGAAACAAATAGTCGGATTTTGATAATGAAAACACTCAGAGGCAAGTCTGTATTTGCTGTGATTTAGTAGCCTCTCTGTTTTCCATCCCTGAGCTGTAAACACAGACAGCAGGATTGGTGCGAAGCCTTACACGCAACTATTAAAAATTGATTGATTGGTGTACTAATTTAAAATAAATTACGTACTGATCCGTTGTATCATTCATGAAATCTCATTTGATTAGTAAACAGAGCAGGAACCTTAGACAGCGGTGGTATGGCGTCTTCTGCTTCTATATTGCCGATTGAATTGTTGGATAAATCGAGTCTCAGCAACGCTGACAGTGGCACCAGTGCTTTAGCGGGTAGTCGGGTTAAATTATTATGGTGTAATATGAGCTCCTGCAGAACACTGCTCATTCCCAAGAATCCATTTTCGTCAATATCCGCAATGCTGTTATGTGACAAGTCCAGTTTTTTGATAAACAGACCGGAAAAAAATCCGGCTGGGATATGATGCAGTCCAGAATTTTGCAGCTCAAGTTGTTGGATCAAGCCCAGATTGATCTGATTGGCGCGTAGCAGCTGGACTGCTTGAGCGCCATCGCTGTGGGAGCATCGCAAGACGATTCCATGGTGCGAATCGTCGCATCGACAGATTGTTGAAATAATTTCTGGACAAGCGGAAGACAGCGAAACTCCGAAGCATAGAGCAATAAATAATACAAAACTCCTAACAAACTGATCAGAACGTGAGACTTCCTTGAAATACTGTCTTTGCCATTTTACCACTACGAAATGTTGAAGCCGTTGCCGCGGTTCGCCCTCAGACATTCCTCCGTACCAACTAGCAAAGCAGCCATTATCATCATCATCATTCTCATGCTCGTCATCATTATCTTCATCGTTGTGATAGTAGCCCACAATTCTTTGGTTTTTCCGACGACCCACTTTGTTATCGCCGTGTTCTTCGCTGTTGTGACAACACCTATTGGCATCAGAGTTGTGAACAAGAGCGGTAGCATTAACATCAGCTATGTTATAACACTTTCTGCGATTATAATGACTGAAAATAGTGTTGGTGCTGCAGGATGATTCTGGCATAGATGTCGATAAATTTGTGAATTTTGAAAGGAGCAGCCTTCTTGACTTCGAATGCCCAGAATTGGTGGTAGCAATAAAATTAGCAGTTTTTGGAGGCATTACCGGCAGTAGCAGTAGCAGCAGTTATTGTTGTAGTAGCAAAATAACCGGATAAATGACTGCATATACTTGTTTAATGTATTGTTAGTGTTGATGATCGGTGGGCTGCGGGGCACAGGTTGAGTGATTCGGATCGAAATTGTAAGGTGCAGATGATGGGCGCTGGTAACACTGGGATGAGATGGTTCGGATGGGGCGGCACGCTGCCCCAGTCCACCCGGATTCCCCGCCTTCTCTTCCCTTAGCCGGCACCGATAAACGCCAGGCAACACTGGCACCACTACCACTGCCAACGCACACAGTGAATGAAATGTACGAGGGGGGAAGCAATGTCACCCGTGAGAACATGGACAAGCAGCAAGGTCGACCGACGAATAGACCGGGTTAGCCCCTCTCCTAATTGTCCCGTTACATCCTTTCTTCCGGTTAACAACAACAACCCAAAACCACTCCTGAATCGTTGCTTTTTAGGTCGACCTTCCTCCTCGCCGTTTCGGTCCGTCATCACAGTCCTTCCCTTCTGCCTCGCTCATCACCAGTTCCACACTTTCAAACAGATTTGGAGCAGACAGTGACGTGATTCAGATGCTGCTACTGCTGCTTCACAGTATTATCATCCTGATGTACGTGCTCCACAGAACCGACATTAAGCATCGGAAAATGCATGCATACACGTGTATTAACATACCAACCTGCTGATGGATGTGCTGCGGTGGCAAATAGCAGTGCTTTAATTTCTTGGCTCAAGGGTTCGACTCCTCTAGCGGGTAATAGGTGTTAACTCATGCAACCAGTTTCACTGCTAGTAATTCATCTGATAAATCAGTATTGGGAAATATGTCAAGGATTCATAACAGTGTCATTAGCTTTCTTCTAAGCAACTCTCAGAAGTAGGCGACGTCGACAGCCTTGGGAGCCACTTCCGAGCTGGCTCGGACCACTTCCGAGTACTTCCAGCGCTGTCGAGGAGATTTTTACTTCAGTATGCATCTCTAACTAATTATTCAGTACTTTTTTTCAGAACTGGAAGCTGTCGTCCTCATCTGTGCTTCTTTCCACCATCCTCAGCCATTCCCTTCTGCTTCTTCCTTCGTTGCTTTCGCAGTTCATCTTCAGAAGGATAGATGCACTCATCTATGACTCAGACAACTACGCTTGTACCTACACGTATTCTTCAGTAACAAGGCTGTTGACAGCCTGGCCTCACTTGAGCTTTATTTCCTCTTCCTCAAATTTGCCTGAAACTTGCAAAGCTTTAAATCAGTCCATTAGCAAAGGAGCATTGCTTGAGAAGCAAACTGAGAGATAATCAGTTCCTTAGCATTTATGGCACGAAGTTACTGATATTTCAACTAACTCGGGGGAAGTTGTTTGTCCTATATAGCCAGATTCGATACATTTATGCTCCGTGCTCGCTAGAAGAGATTTCATCAGCGACCGTTTGAAAACTACTTTTTTTTTTCATTCTTTTTCTACACAGATCAGTTGTTGAATCTGTGCTCATGTCCCGCATATAAAAGAGACTCCAAAACGAGTAATTCCGCAAAGCTGCCTGCATAAAGAAACATTGTTCCCTTGAAAAAATCACTGCTTTAGTTTCTGAGACATTCTCTGCCCATTATTACGATATTTGGAACACGATGGAACGCCATTACGGCGAAATTTTTTTCTTTTTTCTCATAACTTGTAGCGGAAGTGTAAGTGCCAAGTATGGCTGCTTTCGTCCTCTTCACCTTCCATCCTAAGTAAAACCTTGCCATCACTTTGTGATTTCGCAGGGCTTCTTTCCGCACCTCAAGCGATGAGCAGTTCTTTCCCCAAAAGAACTGCTCCTTTTTGTCAGCAGCCAAAAGGCCGATCACCAACAACATATCTCGCCGTACTTGCTTTTAGAAGTTAGGCAAGCTGATTTTTTCTAGCTAATTGTCCTAGTAAATCTAATATGGCCAGTGCAGTGCACTGTTCAGTCACTGTGTGTCGTACTAAAAATATTTATAAATTACAGTCATGAATATTTCAAAACATTTGAACTGCCCAGTTGCTACAGCATGCCATCGTGTGTTCCTACTAAATTTGCTTTGATTGCCTGGGGAACAACACACATAGCATTTATTCATTCAATTCAACATCAAAATCCTGAAAGCATTTTAAAAAACTGCACAGAAACTTCACGCAAGTTGCAGCGCGTGAACATTTTAATCTATTTCTGTAACAAATCCCTTCCTAAGGCACAGACTGTGATCACCGAGATAAAACTTGAATGCAAAAATTATTGCATGGCAGCCAAACGAATGTGCTCATTTACATTAACAGGAATTTCAGACGGTCTTTCAGATGGAAAAAAAAGTTAAAGATATATGGAAAAAAAGAGGACAGACGAAGCTGTGACGAACATCAAAAAAAAAAGGTATCAGCGCATATTTGGCAAAGAATTTGAGGTGCAATTGAGTTTTCACGAATGGCAGTGGTTGAATAATTTAGCGTGTACAATAAGCTAGTGAAACAAACAAAATCGAAGACAGACATGGAAAGCAAAGTAATTTGAAGTGAAATGAATTTGTAACTAACAAGAAAAATACTAGTTAAACTATGTAACTAGCAAGATGTGCTTGCTAAACAGTGTTAGGCTAGTCTTTTCTACTGAAAATTGTACAGAGTAAGGCGCTAACTAATGAAAAAGTGCAGTATAAAAAATCTGCATAAAAATTCTCCCCTCCTTAGCCATTGCAAAAACTTTTATGAGACGAAATCCTTGAAACGGAAAATTTCGCCTTACTTTCTATCAGTGATCAGTAGGGCGATCGATCACCCGAATTTTTTAGTTTTCAGTTTTGACGAAAGGCGTCAGGCTGCGCAACAGTCTCGAAACAAGCATCGTGTTGTTCGCGACCTCAGTTCTAAGGGGCGGTTGCATGTTAGTGTTTCTGCCCCATAATCCCACGGCTAACTGTTGCATCGGGTGGAGCAGTGCTACGTTTAGAACAAATGACTAGCTTAAATTTAACAACGGATATGGACGATTTTTACGAAAACTGTACTTCTGGGACATTCCCGTGCGAGAAACACCGGAAAGAGAAGCAGAACAAGCATTTAAAAGAGAAACAGGCCAAACATTAATAAAAACGAACCGCTTCACGTGTTAAGATATTCGAGTGTTAGCGAAAAATAAATGGTTTTTGGCTTTTATACATTAGCAGGATGTCGACGATATTTTGCTTGATCGCGAAATTGATTCATTTTCGGTGTGCCAGGCGCTGTTTGCCGTGTATGCGCCATTTGAGTAGGATCTACTAACGAATCTTCATCGATATCCGGTTCCGTATCAACAAGGCGTTTACGCTTGATATATATACAGATTAAGCTCAACACTGCTAACGAAACTGCACCAACGAAACCTAAACAGGCAAACTGACAAGAATAGTGTGTGCACCAGACAGCTGGTATGGGGATCCAGATCTAGTAAATGTAACAAAAATTTTATAAGACAAAAGTTCCCATTCTTTTTCAACTTAGCGCAGCCAGTGCTGTGCTTACTTTTTGAAAAATTTTCAGTCATTTCCTCATACTTCTTCGTACTTCTTATCCGAATAAGTTGTGATCGTCGACTTTTTACGAATTCTGGATTTTCTTTTTCTTTTTCTCCTTTCCTTTCCCACCTTCCTGTATTCGCTTTTTGCTCCACCTCTGCCCCTCCCCTTTCCGTCCGGATTCTGAAAGTGCCACTCTCTCGCACTCAACAGGCGGAAACTGCTAGTCACTAAGTTAGTAATAAAATTTCCACCAGCTGCAGCCATTCGCCAGGACAGATTGGGTCTGCCTATCTTTCGGGGAGCTTAGAAAGCAGTTTTTAAGCTGCTTGGCTCAGCTGGCTTCACTTTATCACTGAAAGAATTTGGTAGGGAAGGGTTGTGTTTATCAGCAGTGGCCTTTGACCAGGAGTTTCTGTAAGGAAGTAGCGCCACAGACCGTTACGTCCACTCGCTTTCATTACAGAGTTCCGGAAATAGTGAAAAAAAAAAAAAAAAATACAACGTACCGAGCAGTAAGGCAGTATAGTACTGAACCCGAACCAGTTTTTCAGCTTGTTGATTAACTTGTGTGAAATCGTTGCTCACGTCATTGATATCGTATGGGACATACGTTGGCATAATTGGTCGTTCAAATGTTGGCAAACTGTGTAGGATTTCCTCCATCGTCTTGTTGGTCTTAAAGTTAATAGCGCACTGATTGCAGGAATGAAATGAGCAGGCGGTAATCCTTTATACGCTCACAGCTTTTTTTCTAGATTATCAAACATGAATCAGGTGCATATGCAAGCGTTCATAGAGCTACCGGATTTTTGGCTTAGATGCTATATTTCCGGCCCGTAGGACACATCTAACGTATTACTACTACCACACATCCTGAACTTGTCGTAGTAAACGTTCTTCATAATCATCCCAACTTTTCATCACCACTTGACTCAAAGTCGAAAAAGAACACGGTAGCTGCTAAAGCAGTTTGGAAATCTATAAAAGAAATGGCCTCAAGCTAAATCAAAGATCAAAATGGCGTCTTGTTTTTAAGCGAAACGGTACTTGCTGTTTATCTGTGACATTAGCTGTCAAAAAGTTATTTGAATTTATGTTCCTTACGTTGCTAGATAACGTAGCTATGAGACGATGACCGTCAGCGAGGATGTATTGTTGAAGTTCAGCCGGAAGGAGCGAAAAATCTGGTACTTCTCCACGAAATAGCGCATCAACCACAGATTTTGGTATTTCACTAATATTGTAACCGGGTGGCAGCATTTGCATCATCTCGGTCATTTTCGATGGCACACTTCTCAGTCTCTCTGCAGGCGAGCCTTTCGCCCTCGCTAAATCAGTATCGGTTGGCAGTCTTGATGTGTGATAGTCCTGCAAATTACCGGGATTTATTAGGCTGACAAACACTTTGTCATTAAAAAAAAAAATTTCGTATAATTTTGTAACGAGATACCAAAAACTGCATAGTCAGTTTAACTATATTTATCTATTGTCAGGTCGTTTAAACCTTGGTAAAATTAATTTGATAAGTTCGATAATCACTGTACTTTCCAGTCAGGCCCAAGAATTTGGGGCTGTACAAAAAATACACGGCGAGCGCTAAACGTAATGTCATTGGCAACGCAGGTTCATGCAGTATCCATGCCTTTCTAGTGAAGAACACTGCATGCGATACTTGATTTAGAACCCTAAGTTTTTGTTATTGAGCTTACATCGATCTGGTTTTGCTAACCCGGATGATTTGTGTCTGTTGTCGATCAAGATGCGGTAAGTCGACGCTCTTCATTACCTCAGTGACCGGATCTCGCGGTAACGCATCCGGAGGTGGCAAGTAGCGGGAGTCGTCAAACCGCAGCTTTCCGCGTTTAGCTGCTTGCGCTGCTGTTGCTGCTGCGTGCATCCGTTTCAAATATTCCTTCATTATTTTATCGAGTGTTTCCCGTGGCAAACCGGGGATTTGCCCTCCACCCAAAACATGCGCTAGCAAACCAGGCGGAAGCTGAAAAATTTTTAAATTTTGCTGGTTTCATTAGTAGCTTGAAATATAATGATACAGAAAAAATGAAATTTCGAGATTGGCCTCGTCATTGTCAACTGCGAACACAGTGATAGCCTCTCGGTAGCTAATGGCAACACTTGCATTCTTATGAGCAGGGTCCAAAAGTCGGGACTTTTGATCATCTCAAAATTCGTACGGGTCATCATCATGGGTTTGCATCACTAGTTTCTTGGCTCTTATGAAATGCTATTTTTTTTTTTTTT